TTTGTTTTTATATTTTTTAATTCTTTTTTATAAATATTTTATTTGAAATATTAAATAGAAATTATTAATGGAATAATTTATATTAATATACTGTATTAATAATATAATATACTAATATATTATATTCTTAATGTACATTAGTCGACATCCTGTTGACATAATAGGAAAAAATGTTTTTTTTTGGTTATTTGGACCAATTTGGTTAACATTTCCGAAATATAGGAAATGTCAACCGGAATAATGTAATTTTTATATTACCATCCATTTTCATGTCAGTGAGCCTTGACATCAACATATGTCGAGCGACATTAGCGACATTTGAAACTCCCTATGGTTAAGAGGGTTGAGATCTTTCATGTGAAAGGAATTGTAGAGAAGAGACTTGAGGTCTTGAATTCCTTTTGTATCATCTCCAGTCAACAATATGTCATCCACATATAGTAAGAGAATGGAAAGGCCCTGGGGTCTTTTCCGGACAAAGAGAGAGTAGTCTAATGCACTTTGGCTATATTGGGCTTGCACGACAACATCTTCGAATTTTTCAAACCAAGCTCGAGGGGCTTGCTTGAGCTCGTAGAGGGGCTTCTTTAGCCGACAGACGAGGGAGGGATCACTACAATACCCAGGAGGAGGTTTCATATATACTGTTTCCTTTAGATGACCATGTAAAAAGGCATTGTTCACATCCAGTTGAAAGATAGTCCAAGAGTGTGTAGCATAGAGGGCTAAAAGAACACAGATTGTAGTAATCTTGGCCACTAGAGCAAATGTCTCTTCATAGTCAATGTCATACTCCTGCGTATATCCCTATGCCACAAGCCTGGCTTTGTAATGGTCTAGAGACCCATCACATTTCAGCTTGACGGAATAGACCCATTTGCTCCCAATAATAGAGCCATCTAAAGGTGTTGGGACAAGGTCCCAGGTGTCATTCTCATGCAAAGCTTGAATCTCTGCATCCATGGCTTCTTGCCACTGAGGGCTGCTACTAGCCTTCTGCTGTAGAGGTCAAAACAGTAGAGAAGCTATGGTTTGAAGGAAAACCAAAGCGGTTTGGTGGTCTAGAGATATGAGTAGAACGGCGTAAAGGTACAAAAGGAACAATTAAGGAATCTGAAACTGGGGCATCACTTACAGGGTTTTCTATGATGGGCGAGGGATCCAGACCAAGAGGAAGAGGGGTCGTAGGCGTAGGAGCTGGACCACAAACCCGTTTGCGAGAGAAGACGAGAAGATCCTTCTTAGTAGTGGACAATGGAGTATCATGTGGTTAAAAATCATGCAAAACTGAAATAGAGGGTGCAAATAACTTGGCAATTCCTGAAAAAAAGGAGATATGCTAAAAAAAAATCACATTTCGGGAAATACGAATACGACGTGCTGAGGAATCGTAACAAAGGAATCCCTTGTGGTTAGGGCTATATCCCACCAAAGTACACATGACAGATTGAGCTGAAAGCTTTGAACGTTCATGAGGAGGAAGATGAACAAAGCATAGACACCCAAAGACATGAAGATGAGAAAGATCTGGGGGGAATCCAAACATCTTTTGATGAGGAGATATGTTAGCAAGCACAGAAGATGGGATACAATTGATCAGATGCACTGTCATGCTAGCGAGCTCAACCCAGAATGTGGGAGGCGCATGTGATTCTTGTAGAAGAGTCCTTACAACATTGAGAATGTGGCCATTTTTTCTTTCTGCCACACCATTTTGCTGAGGAGTGTCTGGATAGCATCGTTGGACTTGTATGCCATGATGTTTCAGATAAGCCAAAAATCCCCCATCACTGTATTCTCCCCCTGATATAAGCATAAGGTCTACACATTCACTTGGAAATGAACTCGAACCATGTTATGAAACAACCTTGGAAAAACTTCTGATTTGTGTTTGAGAAAGTAGATCCAAGTGTACCTGGTACAGTCATCAATGAATAGCACAAAATACTTGTATCTCATCCGAGAAACAACAGATGAAGTCCAAACATCACTATGAATAATTTCAAAAGGCGAAGTAGCATGTTCAGCTCGGTGAATGAATGGTAAAATATGACTCTTACTCAAACAACAAGAAACACAAGATGTATCAAAGGATTTCATAGAAGGAATTTTAGTTTTAATAAAACCAGACTCAAATAAGTATTTAAGTTTTTCAGAATTTGGGTGGCCCAAGCATTTATGCCACAAATCCCAAACATAGTTTCTCTGACTCAAAATTGGACTTAATGTAGAAGAACACAAATAAGCAGAGGATGATGCTGATTGAGATTTCTCCAACTCCAATGCAAACAAGCGGCCCATCCTACGCCCCTTCCCTTTCACCTTCCCAGTGCACTGGTCCTAAGTCAAACAACCATTAGAGGAAAAGGTTAGAATGTGACCTTCATCAACTAGTTGACCAACCGAAATAATTTGCATATCATTAAATAAAGCCAAATTATTCTTGAATAATCATAAATGAATGTAACAAAATATTTGAAACAATTATAAGACTCAACACGACTAGGACCCTAGGATCAGAATGGACAAAAGCAAATGGACTTGAGACTTATTATTTTTTGGAACAAAAGACACAATGGTGTTCACTAAGCTGACACAATTTGCATTGCAACTGGTAACAAACTCCATACATGGGACTAGCTTCTTAAGAGCAGGAAGAGACAGATGGCCCAACCAACAACGCCACTGTAAAGGTGTAAGTGTCATATGGAGGGCTTTCTACAAACCACCACCATCCAAATTATACAGTCCTCCAACTCCATGCCTGCCACCTATGACTACACACATACTATACCATGGCCTCTAGTAGCACTTCCATGTCAGTTCAGGCAAGAGAAAAAGAGAAAGAGATGAAACATCAGAGAAGAGAGACTGTTTGGTTGATCTGTCTTGGTTGATCCAACCCAGAAATGTTGTATTTATATTAAATAGTAAACGGACAAGATTGTCCTTACAAAAGAGGTAAAATACAGAACTATACAAATCAGCACTATAGAGTACATGCCCAAAAATATACATACAAGGAGTAAAATGACAAAACTACCCCTCTTCTATACAAAAGAAGCAAATCTTTGAACAAGTTCCTTTTTAAGAAGGGAAATAGAGTACAAGGTGGGGAAAAGAACCTTGAGAGAGGAAGAACCAACCCAGACATCCTCCTAGAAAAGAACTTTGTCTCCGGTACAAGACAACAAATATCATACCTAATGTGGCATAGGAACTGAGGAAGGATACCATGAATAGCCCCACAAGGTGTGGCCAAAGTTGCTCAAGCCAACACTCCCACATCCCAAACATTGCCTACCTGTCCATGTATGCTCTCTATCACCTGATGCCACAATCTCTCCCTTTCCAAAGGCCACCTCCACAACCACCTACCTAGCAAATGTTATGTTCTTTCCTAGGTTGCCTATACCTAACCCCCCTTGCTCCTTCCTTTTACAAACAGTTCCCCAGTTGACCAAGTGGTCCCTTCTATCCACCTCTTACAAAAACACTTTTTTAGTGTTTGGCTGGTAACTAGCACAGGCTTTTTTGATATAAAAAGCCCATTCAGAGCTTCTTCACCAAATGATTTTTTGACTAACTTTTGGCTTCTCTAACAAGAAAAGCGCAGAAGGCCCATTGGAGAAGCACTCCCAAATGCAGCCATAGTAATTGAAGTATTTGTATCTCCAACTCAAACTAGCATTAAAATTTTGAACCTTAGTTGAGCTGAAACCTGACATCACTCAAGATGAAAAGCTATGACTCTTATGGCTTCTAAGTAAAATCTTAATTTTATTAGTTTGTACAGATAGCTCACCAATATTAGTATGACCTACCAGTAATCAGTTCACACTTATATGTGGCTAGAATGCTTTTGCATGCAGAAAAGCCAACATATATGGCTTATTGCGTATTACCAAATTTTTTGCTTTATGAATTAAATAATTCTGAAGGATATATTTATGTCCAGGAAGGTGAACCTTTGGAGCAGACTACTGCAAATGTTGGTGATGCCGACTCTGAATCAAATGAAATTCGCCGGTTTGAACTTTTAAGGAATGAACTAATTGAACTTGAGAAAAGAGTTCAAAGAAGCACTGATCAATCTGAGAATGATGAGGTATTCTTTGAGAACTATGTATTTAACATATTGTAATAGTTTTGAATCTTATAGAAGAGATTTCCGAGGACTACTTTTGTAGATCCATCAAATTTTACTAGTTGCTCAGGTTCAAACAAGAAACCTGTCATATGACTTGTTGGATGGATTATGAGTTCTAAATACACATGGACATGCATAGAAAGGAAGAGGAAACAAGATAATTAAAAGTGATGAATGCATATACATCTCAGTTCCTAGATATTCTCCTGCCAATCTCTGACTTACCACCAGGAATCTTCCCATACCCCCCCCCCCCAAAAAAAAAAAAAGTAATAAATTGTTACACCCTGGTGTCTCCTTCTCACTTCCTGTTTGCAACTACAGAAGTCCAAGAATGGTTAATGACTTAATCCTATTTCTTTCTATAATTAATTCCTAGAAAGAAATGAAGAGGTTATTTGATTGGAGATTCATAAATACTCTTATTTCTACTATTTATTAGATCCTCCAAAATAAAATAATTCTTTTATTAATTACATAAAACACAAAAGAACCTATATACCAATACATCTACAACCTAATTACCAAAAAATGGTAGAAAGAAACCTACTTCTTTGTAAATAATTTTAGTTCTCACCAAAAAGAAAATACAGAAAATCAGTAAAGTCACCCTTTCTTATCTCTAAGAAGGGAACAAAAATCATCAATTTTCTTGAAGAACTCCAATTTCATTCTTTACCCTCTTCACCTCTATGAAGACCCAACATTTCAACTCATTGTTCTTAGCATATTGATCTAACAAAGAACCATCTCTACCTCTATGTTAGAGAGGTATGATTAATGTGTTTGTGATTTGATTTCCTAATGGTAAAATCCTATCATGTCTGAGAGCAGCCACCTTGTTCAACAAAGGCCAAAGGTTAGTCTGTAACTCTGTATCCAGTTCACCCCTCCCAAGATCCCAGATAGCAGGGACCAACATTGGGTAATGGCACTTTTTGTTCATGAGGGATTAAATATTTATGATCTAATTCTTTTATACATTTATCATCATCATCATCATCATCATATAAACCTTGTCCCAATTATTGGGGTTGGCTACATGAATCCTGTTTTTCCATTCTATTCTGTTCAGTACTTCAGTGCCATATACATCGTTAATTATGGGTGCTTAAATCATTTCTTTATACATTTATTTATGTAAGCTATTTTTGAATGTTTAGACATTTCTTTTGTAGATTGCATTTTATATTCTAATATTACTGGTTAGAACTGAATGGGCTTTGCAAGTTCTGTTTTGTTTTATGAATTTCTTCTTTATTTTATTTCTTTCATTTATAATAATTCCCACTATACATTTTATAATTTGAGGTTATTGACTGAACTGATCCTAAATCTTCTCTTATATTTGCATAAAAATTAGAAAAGAATTTAACATGAATAGATGATCAGTTGAATTAGGTAGGATGTTCAATAGAATTTTAAAAATAAAATAAAATAAAAATTTACATTGATACACTTTTACTCCCCCCCCCCCCCCCCCAGAGTATTTGATGTAGCACAGGTGGGTCTACCTTCGAGGACACACCCATAGAGTTCCTTTACTATTAAGGTTGAGGTGCAGCAGGTGCCCCAAAACTATAGTGAGACTTCTTGCAATCTCAGTACCAATGGTCCAAATAGAAGCCTTCTCTAATAAGTCCATTAAAGAATCTAGCTAAGGGATATTCAAGTCCTAAGACAACCATTTTTAGTCATATTTTTCAAGGTTCTAAGGCGGGACTAGATGACAAGGGGTGCAATCTTAGTACCAACGGTCCAAATAGAATCCTTCTCCAACAAACCCGTTATTAAAGAATCCAGAAAAGGGATATTGAAGTCCTAAGACAACATTTGTAGTTATAGTTTTCAAGGTGCGAAGGTGGGGATAGGTGACAAGGGAGGTGGTGATTAGGTGGCTAAAGGAGGGTGACAACAGTTTATGGAGTTATAACAATGAGAAGAATAAATTTAAATGGCTGAGTAGGGATATTGTGGTTCATTACAACGGGGTGAAGAGGACTGCTAATTCTTTTGCTGATGGGTTAGCAAAGCAAGGGATGAATAGGGATTCGATTTTTTGGGCTATTTTTTTATTTTTTCCCTTGTATTTTTTTGGTGGGGAGTTAAGTCTTTTTACCTCCCCTTTGTACCTAAGCTTCACATAGTTTCATATCATTAATAAAGTTTCTTGTTATTGATCAAAAAAAAAAAAAAGATAGGTGACAAGGGAGTGCCTTGTCACCTAGTCACCCAAGGTCCATAGGTCCATAGAAACTAACAACCATCTTTTATTGTTTATACACTATTTATGTAATTAGGGGTCGTTCATCTTATTGACTGAACTAATCCTAGGATAGGTGCTATGGACCCTTAAATCTCACTGCTACAACCCATTTACTTGTTGGTCTGCTCTTAGTTTTTCTAACCTCTTCAACTTATAACAATCACTTATTCTATGTTTCTAATTGGTACTGTAGATAGTCTTCTCTGTATGTGACCAAAGCACCTTAGTCAACTTTTTCTCATTTTATCACCTATTGAAGTGACTCCTACATTCCTTTGAATAAGCGTAAAGCAATTTGGTTAAATTAAAAAGCCCATATAAAATGAGCTGACATGTGACCCTCTCCTTGTTGGTAGGCATCAATGTTTTCAAACTGTCATTGACCTAGATGTTGGACCAGAAACCGTCCAGGCAACCAGTTCCATTTTACCCCAAACCCGGTCCCTGGTCAAAAACCATTGAATTAGTCAACAAACCGTTGACCTGGATGGTTTGACCGTTGAACTGTTCAACCCAGAGAAAGGTTTGCTGTTTATTACTTCTGACAAGTTAGAACAAGAATGAAAAGAGAAGATTTCTCAGATCTGAGATCTACTAGAGAGAGAGATCAGTTGAGGGATGTGTGAGACAGTGAAAGAGATCTCACATTTAGAGATATGGGAGAGCAGTCTAGACAACAGATCTGCAAGAGAGAGAGAGTGTGTGAGATCTGAGATTGAGAGAAATCTCTCTCTCTCTCTCTCTCTCTCTTCTAAACTCTCTCAGCCATCGACAGCTTCTCAAATCTGTCATTCTCAAATGGTCAAACCTTATTTCTCTTATATTTATATGCATCTTACCCTAATATTCCAATCTAATGGGTAAGATGACATATCACTTGTTAAATATTTAAACCGTTTGACCCGGACGATCGAACCACTGACCCAGGAACCAGCGGCCAGAATGGTTCCATTTCTGGGTTGGTTTTTAAAACCTTGGTAGGCATATTGTCCCTCGTCTGATTGGATAAGGTAATTATATAACCATCCCCACATCTATGAAAGACCCCCACTAGGGGAATCCATGCCTAATGCAAAATCGAAGAGAGAAAAAGAGAGAGAGGTGTGGAGAAGGGAATGAAAGAAAGATACCCCCATTGGTTGGAGCTAGATTAGCAGGTGGAAATGTAGAAAAATCTTTCTCCCTCTTCTCTTCTATTGTACTATTCATGTCATAATCTCTTCTCCCATCATTTCTATGTGCTATGACAGGTAGAGATGATTAGAAGGATAATGGGATGGTGATTTCCTCGCTGGCCAATCATAAGCTTTTTAAAAAGAAGCTTCAACTCTTTTTTTATTTTTATAATATTTTTGTAACCTCTTAAAGTCTCGCACTATACAGTTTTGTTTAGAGGATACTGTTTAGGTGTGTAGTCCCAATGTACATGGGTTCCTCTATGTTTCTTTTTTGAATAGCTACACTCATTAATCAATACAATACTTTTATGTTCCAAAAAAATGACAGAAAAATTATCTTTTTTCTTCCCCTCTAGTTCATCTCAATAAAGCAGAAAGTTCTAGGAAGCGAGAAACACTGCATACACATTACACTGTAATTGCAGTCTTCTAGCAAGCAATAAAAAGAAGAAATGTAGGAGGAGAAACGGCTTACATCCTTGTTAAGTGATTTCTCTGATTGCAGTCCCCTACAAAGTGAGAAACAAATCAAATGGAGGAAAAGGCTACAAAGCAGGGAAGAAAATGACATGTAGGAGGAGAAAATTACCTACAGCCTTGTCAAGTGGCTTGGCTGGTTGTAGTCCCTCTACTAAGTGAGAAACAAAACATATGTAGGAGGAAACTGCCTACAACCTTGTTAAAGCTAGCAGATTGCAGTCCCCTCCAAATCAACAAATAAAGAAGCAGGAAAGAAAAAGGCCATTACCTAATGTTAGTCCCAACTCTCTGGGGCTTTGGAGGGGTGGACTGGATAAGAACCTAACCTTTGGAACTTTTTGCACAAAGTCACCACTCTTAGACTCAAACCACATTCTAAATTTCACACTTGTTGTCTCGAGGAAATGGATCCTAAAAAAATTGAGCACAGCCTTGTTCTTGAAAATTGGCAATTGCAAATCTTTTCAAAGGGATTATTGATTATAGTCAGGTTAAGTAAACTGAACTAATTACAGAAATTAGCTAAATCGCCATCAAATAGGCCTGCAATCCATTAAATAAAGAAAATGACTTCCATATTCAAGAAAAGGAATAAAGGATAAACTTATAAAATATGAATTTGTATATCTTAATATTCCCTTCATCTCTCTGAAACTTGTAGAGATATTCAAAAAGGACTAAACCAGAATTCTCACTACAAGAGCTCTGCAACGATGCAATTCTATTCTTTGGTTTGTTTTATTTCTTTAAGTTAGAATAAGAGGGTGTTCTCTTCTTTTTCTAGAGATGTAATTTAGGGGACCATCTTTTGATACTTCAAATGGTCCTTATGCAGATTAATAACTTTGCATTATTGAGTGAATTATCTTGCATGAAATCACATCAAAATTTATGTTAATACACTTGCATTGAGAACTTATAACTAACCAGAATATCCTTGTTTACATGCTTTCACTGTAACTTAAAATTTGATAATCATGTTCCTGATTGTGATTCATTCTTAACAAAAGTTGAGTTCATGGCCATTTTCTGTTTATTCTTCATATTGACTGCTTTAAATGAGATAGTTTCATACATGTTTTTCCAGGATGTTAATATCACTGATAACAGTATCAGTTATAGTGTTGAACATGGAGACAGTCGATTATTTCAGCTGCAAAAGAAAGAAGGTGTCGTTGGAAAATCACTTGACAAGCTAAAAGAGGCTAGCACGGTATGACTATTTTCCCAAACCAAGGGATGATATATAACCTAAATCTTACATATGGTAACCATAGTGCAAATGGCAGAGCAATGCAGATTCTGTACATTCAAGGTGGATTTTGTGTGAAAACTGAGTATCATTTGATGTGTTCCACCTAGGAAATATCGAAGGAAAAAGGTTCAATGTGAAACACTCAAACTAGCCTATTTATATTTAAGTAGTAAACATTTTCCTTCACCTCCATAGCATTACAAATATGTCAATGGCTCAGCATCCATGGGAATCTCCTTTTAGAATCATGCATTGGTGAAAAAGACCAACAACCTTATTAATATCCAAGATGAATAGGACATGACTGACCTAAAATGGTAACCATCAAGTGAATATCTGCAGGTCAAGTTCAACTCAATTTCTGGTAAAGGTTATAGTATAACCACAAAGGTTATACTAAAGTCACTAGTTAAGAAATTATATTAGAAAGGTGCATAGTGGGTTTACTTAGTTCAACTAAGCCCTGTCCCAAGATTGCATGTGCTCTTCCATTCTGCTTTGTTCAGTGACATATCCATTTTTTAATAATGAGTCCTTAAATCATTCCTTACTACTTCAACCCAAGTCCTTTTTGATCTGCCCAAAGCTCTTCTAGACCCTTCAACCTGTAACAGATAGTTTTTTCTTCTAGATCTTCTAGACTCTCACTCATGGAAGAAATCTCATGGAGGCAAAAGTACAGAACCCTATGGCCGAAAGAAGATGACGATAGCACCCCTTTCTTCCATAAAATGGCTAATGCAAGATGAATAGCCAGTACCATTTCTCAGCTCAAAGTGGGTGATCAATATCTAGAGGAAGAAGAATCTAGAAGTAAGGTTATTGTAGATTTCCATGAGGATATGCTAATCATAGAATCTGACACCCAAAATTGGATGGTCTGGTTTTTAACCAAATCTTAAATCAAGAAAGAGATTGATTAGAAAGCCATTTTACAGAGGAGGATGTGTTGGCTTCCATTAAGGAGATGGGTGGGGACAAAGCCCTGGGCCCTGATGGATTCCCAATAAGTTAATCCTGAATCTGCAAGGTGCATCCAAATTGAAAGACTTTAGATCCATCAGCTTAATCAGTAGCATTTGTAAAATCATAGGTAAGGTTCTTGCAAACAGATTGAGGCAGGTCCTTGGCAGTATGGTATCTCCATCTCAAGGGGCATTTGTAGATGGCAAGCAAATATTGGATGGTTCTTTGATAGTGAATGAGTGCATTGACTCAAGACTGAGGGCAGGGCAGCCAGGTGTAATGATCATACTAGATATGGAGAAAGTCTATGACCATGTCCAATGGGAATTTGTGGATTACATGCTTCATCAGATGGGATTTGGAATCAAGTGGAGGAGGTGGACTTAATCCTGTTTTCTCAACAGCTATGTTTTCCATTATGGTGAATGGGGGTTCCCAAAGGCTACTTTGCAAGGAGGAAAGGGTATCCAGCAGAGAGATCCCTTATGCTCATTTTTATTTATAATTGTTGCAGAAGCATTGAGCAATACCTCAGTGTTGCAATCACTAGAAAAAATCTGTAGAGATTTTTTGTGGTATGTGTGGCAGCAAGCACATTCATCTTGTGGCCTGGAACCAGGTTTGTATGCCAGCCTCATGGAGGGATGGGTATCAAATCCCCTGAAGCAGTAAACAGAGCTCTTCTGGGGCTGCAGCCTTGGAGATATGGCTCTGAAAAAGAAGCTCTTGGAGGAAGGTAATTTTTAAAAATATGGGGATGAAAATCAAAGCCGGTCCACAGGTGAGGTTCATGCTTCCTATGGGGTTAACATTTGGAAAGGCATAAGTAAACTCAATCAGTCCTTCAGGAGCAACATCTTGTTCAAGCCAGGAAATGGAGAACAATTTGCTTTCTGGAAAGTCCCATTGCTGTGGACTCGGCTCCTCAGTGAACTCTTCCCTTCTCTATTCCTACTGGTCAGAACAAGGAAGTATCAATTAGAGATTATGATTATTAGGAGATCTTGGGAAATCAGGTGTCATGGTGTTAGGGACCCAGAGGGTCATACCAGAAGGTCAAAGGTGTATTCTAGAAGAAGGAATCCATGTCAGCTCCCCAGGGACAGCTAACCAAGAATCAGTTAAATGTAACTAATCAAGTAGCCAAGTTGGCAAGTGGTTGGGAGCAAGTTGTGATAATATGTTGTAAGGCTGTTACAACAAGACAAACAAGTATAAAGGAGGAATTTATATTCTGAGAATGATATGAATAAGAAACTTACCTTTCTCTCTCTTGTCTCTAGCTTTTGACTCAGGAAGCTGCTTCACTCTTGAAGGGAAGATAGAGGAAGGAATCTATTTTCTCATTAGGCTGTATTTAGTAAGAGTGCAAACATTGAACCAAATAGAATTTGTACTCTGGTTCAGTTTTGCAGGCTTTGGGTTGGAATACATTTTTACTGAAAATGACAGCAATTTTGTTTTGCTGACATGTTTGCATTCAAAACAAGAGCAAACTTTGCTTCCAAAAAATGGGTGCAAACTTTGTACTCGAAGTTGGTCAATGTAAAAAAAGGCAGATTCTAGTCTTGGAATTCATATTTGTACCCATCACAACCAAATACATTCGGTAAGAATACAAAATTTATCAATGCAAAACCAAACTAACTGTGCATTTTCATGAACCACACATATTTGCATTTGCACTCTTACCAAATGCAGCCTTATAGTAGTCTCAAAATCTACAAAATGTACAATCAAGTGATGTTCATAGGATTGTGGCTTCCTTTGTTTTAAAGGAGCTGTTTTGTTGGACTTGTTAGGAAGCCATAATGATGGGTTTGCATGAACTATGGTAGTTTCAAAATATACAGTGTATTTTGTTGTCTTGCAAGGATAGAAATCAGTTGAGCAGGGCCTAAGGAGGGCAATGTGGTTCTCATGGGGGAAGTGGAAATCTAATGAATTGGTGTGTCAGTATATATAGATCTTTGGTTTTGATTTTAGTTGAATGGATGTTATTCTTTAGCCAGAGTTGAATGAACAAAATTCCTTTGCCAGATGTAGCATGTCACTAACAGTACCATTTTAAATAAGCAGAATGTTTGGCAAGGTACTCAACTACTAGCCATTGATGTAGCTGCTGCCATGGGATTGATGAAAAGAGCTCTTACAGGAGATGAACTAACAGAAAAAGAAAAGTGTGCACTGCGAAGAACTCTGACTGACTTAGCGTCAGTAGTTCCTATTGGCATTCTTATGCTTCTCCCTGTGAGTATTCATAACTCATCTCTTGTGGTAATTACATTATATATTCATTTACATTTTCTGTATTCATGTTTCCGTATCCCAAAAATTTTATGGTATTAAGCTAGTTATGGTATATCTAGTACTAGTACTATATTGGCCAAGGTATAACATAATGAAAATAACAGTTTTGACTATTATTTATTGTATAGTGATTAAAATGAGTGCTGTATATTTGTTAAAGTACCTTTCTAGTTTTGTGCTTCCCATATTATTTATTTACTAGTTTATGATAACTTCAATTTGACCAAAAATAAGAATTAAGGGAAATTATATAGAACCTCCCCACTTTAATGACAAGGAACCCCCTGACAGATATTCCATTAAATGGCAAGCAAAAGAAGAAAAATTACTACTATACCCATCACACACATGTACTGTTGAGAGAGAGAGATGGTTAGCATGTGAGAGATATTTCCATCACATTAAAATACAGATGACATGGCATTAAGTGGATTAGGGTCTTTTTTTGTCATTTTAAAATTATTTTCAATGAGACCATGAGAAAACGTGACACAAGTGAAGTATACGGTTTATAAAACCTCATGACAGGGTTCATTGGAGGTAAAGTTTTAGACATTATTAAGAAAGTGGGGAAGTTTTAGACAATTTCCCAAAATATTATTATCATTCTAGGATGGTCTTGGAGTAAACAATTTAAGACATTCTTTACATGCCTGTTCTTTAATGTTGGTAACTACTATAGCCATTTAGAGTCTAATTGCATGCTTTCTGTTAACTGCATGTATGCACATAAGTACAATGGTTATCCACCATACAGGTGATACAGTTAATAATCTCTACCATTCAGTGAGCCAAAAATTAGAACTTATCCACCTTATAGGTGGCACTTTCTTAATTCTACCCCACCAAGTGGCCTGAAAGTTGGCGCTTACACCATCCAACTGTATAGTCATTTTCCCTGATGTTGTCATAATGTTATAGTTGATGAAACAGAGTAAGTGATTTGGAATCTGCAACTGCATTCTAGCTGGAAATGTAGAATCTTATGCTTGACCTCATCTTGTCCTCTTTACCATCTCCAGTTAATTTGGCACAATGCAAAAATGCATGCTCCTCTTTTTTCTGTTGCTTTCCGAGCTGCACTTTTCATTAACAGAAAAACTGTAAATCTATTTTTTCTTTTAATCCACGTTTGACCTAATATTTAGACCATAACTAAATAATTTACAGGTTACTGCTGTTGGACATGCTGCCATGCTAGCAGCTATTCAAAGATATGTACCAGCTCTGGTATGTGGCTTCTCTCTTATAATTACTTGAACTGCTTCCATGCAACATCAGGCCTGTAAATATTTGGTTTCAACTTTCTGATTTTTTAATAGATTCCTTCAACATATGGACCTGAGAGGTTAGAGCTCCTGAGGCAGCTGGAGAAAGTAAAAGAGATGGAAACCAATGAGATTAATCCTGAGGAGATTGCAGAGGGAAATAGTCTGAGTAGGACAAGTCCTGAAAACCCATAGCTCTTGAAATGATGGTAATTCTTTCAATATAAGATCCAGGTATTTTGTTTAACAGTTATCTTCCCTTATTAAGGCATATTTGTGGGTTGATTGTTCTTTGTTCTGTAGCCCTTCGACAACAGATGACTATAGAGAATTTCATTCCATGTGTCTGGCACTCCAGGGAGGCACCAGTGGCTGCAGTCTTGCGGGAAAGGAACTGGAGTGCCTGGTTCTCGGTGGATTGAAGGGTGACCATCTTTTCTGAACTCTGTAAGATATGTAATATTTAAGAGTTGTACACCTCTCATTGTATCTTTCATATTCTCAATTGTTTCAGAAATAAAACGGTTATTCCATGGCTCAGGCTCCAGCATAGTGTAATTAGTTTCTGGTGCCACATTAATATCGCATCGACCCCCATCCTTCCATGTTCCATCCCTGCAATTTTGTGATCTCAATATCATAACACTATTTGTTAATTTATTGTAGTTTACTTTGAATGTAAAGTACACACTTTGATGATACTGTAGAGATTAATTTATTGTAGTTTACTTGCCTGTAATGCACAGGAGAGTAGCTCCGGAAGAAGATGTAGCTCTTCTCAGGATCTAAATTCTGGATAGCCCATGATTTCCATGTTTGTAGAAACCTTCGGAATGCTTCCATCACATCCATCGTCATATTCAAAGTATTACCTTCCTGGAAATAACAACCCCTAGAAATGAAATATAAATGGCAGTAATTAATGCATATATCCAGAACAAACAGAATACTTTTAAAGAGGAAGAGTGGACTAGTAACAAAGGAGGAAATTGTGAACGCACATCTTTACAGTTTTGTCTTGGTTCCACCAATGGCCGGCATTGAAAACTAGAACATCTGCACCAACCCACTTGTTGGAGTACCAGTGTAACCGGTCGACCCGAATGGCACTCTTGATTTGGACAGAATGATTCTGTGGAGGTCTATCAATGATCACCAGGAAAGGAACCCTGTAGTACTCCACCGTGAGATTGTAGTCATGGAATCGGATTGAGAGGTAGCCCTTGTGTTTTGTGATGGGTTTGCCATTTTGTTCGTAGATTGCAGACTTGTTTGCTACTCCCTGTGCAAGCATGCATACCAGAGATTCCCACTGGTTCCGTCCTATTGAATCACCAGCAAATACAATTCGCCCATTTCGGCTCCTTTCCAGAAGCTCGCTTGCATTAAATCTGCAAATGGAATAAACAAACTTAAGAATATAGAGAATTAGAGATTTCTCAAGATTATTAAAACCAGACAAATAATTCAATATGATGATTAATGGGACCCTAATAACTCTGGAAATTGAGGATTCTTTCCTTGGTAGCCAGACTACCAATAGTTTCAAGTTGCCTAGCAAATTAGCGAGCGAGCACTGCCACCAGGTAAGCTTGTTTTGGCTGAGTTTGTTTTTGGTATAAATATTTATCAATGTAATACATCAATAGAGTTCAATACTGATCAATTTAAATGAGTGAACGGTTGTAAAGTGAAAAGGCATGATTATCGATGTAAATATTTATATATTTTATCGGTGTTGTTTTTATTTCAATTATTGATATAAAACTTTACCATAAATTCAGTTTATATTGATTTTTTATGTAAAACTACATTCAAAATAAATGCCAACAAATATACTTTTACACTGGTCTGTATTTACACAAAACAAATGCAGAGGAGTTTGACCAGAATGCCAGAAAGACAAAATTCCAAAAAAAAATAACCAATCAACCAGCCTCATAAAAGTAATAACCAATTTCATCCCGAGAGTATTAACACTCGAGGGGTTCTTTGTGGCAAGAGTATGAGCCACCAGGTCCTCGGTTCTATTCACAAAATGCCAATGCATGCAAGTCAAAACAAAGTATTTCCACGGTTCCACCTCAAATCAACCAAAAACCAAATATTCTAGATTTGAAAATGAGTGATACTTCAATACGGTCAATGATATATTGAATACTTCCACTTCATTTATCTCTGAGAACATTCCTAGGAGAGTTAATGGAATTCTTCCCCCAATACTTGGAGGAAATTGGGAAAGTAGCTGGGCCTCCCCATCATCTCAGGGAGACTCCAATAGCATTCTCAATAAACAATCATGCATTTCAAGCATTCAAACTCCCCATCAATGTAGCTAAGTCGATTTATATTATCAAAAGAAATTTTCTTTGAGGCACTGTTGGAAAGCCCGAAATAATAATAAGAACAACAACAATAACATTAATTTAGATTAGAAAAATTACTTACAGAATCTTCACCGGTACTTGTACAAGTGTTGGATCTAATGTTGGAATAAGTAAGGATTTCTTTATATTCTAGCAAGACATCAGATGGCGTTCTCCACCTAAGGGCTGAATCAAAGTTAATAACAATTTAAGGTTCAACTGGATTAAACTGCTTCTGGGGGTTCTCATCCGTTGTAGCTTCTGAATCACAACCTAAAATATATTAAAACACAAAATCTATAACCACTTGGAACTAAGGTTCAAAATATCAACATGTATTGGCCCATATCGGAGGTTAACCGATACGTATCGTTCCGGAACCTCTCTGATACGTCCCTACAGTGGGTGTATCGGAGGTCTAACCAGTTCAGGGGGTAGAGGAGACCTAAACCGGCCCCCCTGAATTGGTTGCGGAAAAAAAAAAAAAGGCCTGAAAAACTGTATTGATATGCCCATACCGATGTATCGATATTTTGAACCTTGCTTGAAACAATGGTTTGAAGGCCTCATAGGATACCATGGCCGAGCTGTGGACGTTTAGAAACAGTCTATGGTGCACATGGTTTAAAATATCAAGACGTGTGATATTCATTTACCATATATTGTCCCATTCAAGGTGCCAAATCTCTTCATTTTTAATTTTGTTCAGCCAGAGGTTTTCGTGATAGACATGTTAAGACGAGTAAAACTCCTTTTCTTTAATTTCTTTTTCCAACCAGAGGTTTTCACAATAAACATAAAAAATAGGGATTTTTGGACTGCAATCCCCCTCAGAAATTTTTTTTGCAGCCCCCTCCTAAGCTATTAGTAGCCCCCCTATAAACCACATCCTGTCTGTGAATTTGGCATCAATCACGGGCAGGATTCAGTCCACCCCTAGGAAATCCTATCTCCACCTAGGGATGGACTGAATTATAAAAACCCCCCAAAAATAAGGGTGTTCAAATTCAGTTATTAAACCAAAAATCAAATCAAATAAGCCAATTCGGTGTGGTTTGATAATTTTAAAAATATCGATTTTTTGTTTTGTTTGAGAAAATTTTCAACCAAATCACAATCAAAAACTGAATTAACCAAAACAAATGCATATAATTATATTTTAATTATAAACATTAATATTAACCAAATTAACCAATTTGAATTTGGTTCAGTTTGGTTTGATTTTAAAAGTTAATTTGGTTTTATTTATAAACATGGCCTATCCAAGATGTTCGCTAGGTTCTATTTCCGAACCAAACCAAACCGATCGAACAAATGAACACCCCTAATAAAGAACCCCCCGATTCCCTTATTTGGAATTTCGATGGATGCGAAACCAATATTTATCTTTGATACGCATCTATACTCTTTGATTCTTGTTTGGGCACATTTGGGTTTACACAAGCTATCTTGGAAACTGTTTCTCTTTCTACTATGCATGTCCTTCCCAACTAGAGACTTGAAACTATTTTCAACAAAGTTCTAGAGCTCCTCAACAGAAGATGGACGGTCAACATCCTAAACTACCATAGACAAGACAGGAATTAGTTGCGGATTTAACAGCCAACACATGAATCATGAATTGTGAATCCATTCAATCCAACACTGATTGGAATAGAATCCATTCAACCCTTGTGTTCTCTTTACCAAAACAAGCCTAAAAACTAAAAAAGGCCATCCTTTGGATTGTTCAGCATATTTTTCCTTTTTTTTTTTCTTTTTAGAGATTCCTTTCCTTTCTTCCTATATTTTAATTTAATTATTTTACTATATATACACACATACATTAGTTTTGTAAATGTTAATTCAGGTAATTATTGACTCAATTAATTGTTTCCTTTCTCATCATTTTCTCTATGCGTTGAATTGGCTCTTCATCATCAGAAAATAAAAGAAAAGAGCTTTCCCTCAACTTTTGGTTGTTTTCATATTTTCTCATATATCAAAGGCAGCCTCAGGGTTCAAGTTTTAAAATCATGAATCCTTGTCAAGAACCTCTTTGTTTACGTATTATTCAAGAGTATCAAACAAACACTAAACACACAACTTAAGAAACTCATGGAACCAGCAAAGAAGAAAAAAGCAGAACCCCCTACCTTGGAAGATCACAACCATTGGGCTGCCATCGCCATTTGTAATAATCTCCATCTGTCCGTCCGTTTTGATGGCAGCGAAAGCCAGGATCAAGGAACGGACAACCCTCAGTGTAATATGGATGATTCTCGTCCCAAACCCATCTGCCATTTGAATCGTCACAGGCCAAATCATGCTTGTTTTGTAGAACTTGAGAAAAGAAGCTGATGTTGAGAAGAAACTGGGGCTGAAAAAAGCTTGCAAGAAGGCTGAGTAAGGCGAGAGAGAGGAGGGGAAGAAGAAAGGAGAGGGTGTAAGTAAGTTGTCTATTGAAGATGGGAAATGGGAGAAGTTGAATCTTTTTGAAAAAGGATGTAACAGGTTGAAGATCCATTCGAGAAGGAGATAGAGAATGGTTTTTATTTTGTTTTGAGGCTGGTTATTGTTATTGAGAGAGAGAGAAAGAGAGATAATCAAGTAACTCTGTTCGTAACGGAGCTTTGCTATACATAGACGTCTGACTGGTTCCAACAGAAGAATAGTATAGTTTGGATGAGGAATGAATAACGTATGATCATGAATTGATGAGTTTTACGTTATGTCTCTTTTCTTGGACAAGGCAAGGATCATTGTCTGGTAGAAAACTTAGCCATGGAGCAGGACATGGCTAGAACCGTTAATCACTGATGTATTGACGTGGCCCAGGGGAAAAACTTTGGCTGTTGGGAGTCAACAGCCTCTGATGTTGAGAACATTTTTGCGAATGCCACGTTACCATGGTAATTGCATCTGTCTCTTTTTAACCATAAACATAAACATGAACGTGAATTGATCAACGTCTCCAACGGTCCAACCTAAAAACGCTGTTCGCCCTCAACGTCACCGGTTTTTGGGTCGACGGTTCGAATGAATAGTTCATTTTGACAAAAAAATTAAAATAATTAAAAATAAAAAATGGTCAAAAACTGTTAAACGGGTTGACAGTTTGACCATATGAGTTAATGAATCATTAATTGATTCAACGATTTTTGGCTAATGACCAAATTTGAAATAAAATAGAACCGATTGCCTGAACAATTTCTGTGCCAAATGGTCTGACCGTCCAGGTCAATGGTGATTCGAAAAACCATCTATAACAATGCATCAAAGTCCATGATTTCTAGCCTGTGAAATTGTGAAGGGGGGGAATAAAAGACTCTTCAGAGGTTATGACTAAACCTAAAATCACGGCCATTGGGTGTATTTTGACAATCCGGATCTCCCACTCACACGGGAATCCAGCCCACACCCACCATGTTTATCACAGAACATCTCCGGTATTTGCATGATATTATTTATAGGAAAATCCAAACATGTATTTTTGAGACTTACCTTAACATCACTTTATCCAATTGAAGGTGGATTCACATCAATACATCAAGGGTTTATGATTCATGGCTTTAGCCCAAAGCTATACCAAGCATACATAGCAGATATTTCTTCATTCAATGTGTGTTTGGCATAGTTTACTCCGTTCCAATTTAAACACATATGTCATTTGCTCCATATATATAATCCCAAGTGTGGCAACTTATGCCATTAATCCCTTTTTTCTTTTAGTTTCTTTTGGTAAATTATATAAACTATCACCTCCTATGTGGTGACACTTAGGCTCCTATTCCATTAATGCGGTTGGGTTGTTGGTCAATATAGAATTACTAAATTGCCCTTTGTTTGAGATGGCAAAATGGGCATGCTAAAGCACAATATCTTTCTTGGTCTTAGATTGGGACATTGGGTTGTTGACTTGTTCCGCTTTCGAACCCTTATATGGAAGAAGAAACAAGTCCATCGTCAAGGTTTGAAGCATCATAACTCGGCCCAAAAGAAACATTGTGATTTAGCATGCCCAATTTCTCCCATCTCATCCAATCTCAAATGGGCAATTTTATAATTCTACCTTCGTCGTTAACCTTATTAATGGAGTAGGGGGCAAAGTGCTGAAACCAAAAAGTTCAGGGGGTCTTTGTTGTAATTGCCATTCTAACTTTCTAAGTACAATGTGGCAATCTTTAATTTACCCTTTTTATTTTTTCTCTCTTAAACTTATTCATTATTATTACTAGCGGAGGGGATTTTGTGTTGCAGGGGCTCGCTCATAAACTATCTGGTTCGAGCTCGGCTTGAGTAAAAAACTCGGAAGTTCAAACTTGACTACCTTTGATTGCAAGTCTCTCAAGCAACCGCGGTCTCTCTCAATTGTTGAGGTGTCAAATCAAGGTCTTCTTCAGCTACTGAAGTGTCGAGCTGAGGTTTTCCTAGTAGGCGAAGTGTCGAGCTAAGGTCTCCCTTAGTTGACAAGGTGCCAAGCTGAGATGGTAGGAGAGAGAGAAAGAGTTGGTAGGAGAGAGTGACATTCTTGTAATTTGAAAGAAAAATAAGCAAAATAGAGAAAAAGCTGGTAGAGAGTGGCATTCTTATAATTTCTATGAAAAAAAGGCAAAAAATACTGTTATATTCCATTTCCCTCATCCTCAGACCTTCTTACACGTACACATTTCAACTTAATATATTTATATAGATTATTATTATTTTTTTTATTTTGTGATAAAGTGATTCGTTCAAAGGAAAGTCCTAACACAAACATGCCACCTAATTAAGAACAAAACTCTCGACCTATAAACTGAAAAAAAAAAAAAAAAAACTATAACTAATGTAGCAATCTAACAAATAACCCTTTTGGTAGAGAACTCCACCAGCACTCATTTGAATCAAAACCATGATATAGCTCTTTGTCCCTCTTTCTTACATATTCTCTCTCTTTCCTATTATCCCTCTTTTTCCTCTCTCCCACTCTCTCAAGTATCAATGTATCATCCCTCCCCTATCTACAATGTTTCTTTTTTCCTCTCTCCCACCTCCCTCCTTAATTTGTTTCTCTATTGCCTTAATTATTTCTCTTTCCTCTCCCTCTTTTCATTTCATATGTCCCTGCTCTCTCTCTCTTCCAATTTTTGTGTTTTTTGATTGAACGAATCAAATAGCTAGGCACATGTGGCATTATAAGAGAAAATCCAAAGATTTTTTTTTACCTCAATATAGACTGATTTACATAGTTTTAAGTATTTAAATGGATGAAGATGAATGGATTGGGTTGGGTTTACATAGTTTTAAGTATTTAAATGGATCAAGACGAATGGATTGGGTTGGGTTGCAACCCATCTAAATATTAAAAATACGGATTATCATCAATGGGTGTGGGCCGTGTGGCTGTCTGGGCGGTTAATGGATGGGATAATCATGAACTTATACCCATCCTAACCCAATCCACCCATTTTGCACCCCCTATTTAAGACTTTTGAAATAACAATAGCGCTTCATAGCATCTAGGGCTTCAAATAGATCGAATATGAATCAAATATAAATAGGTATCCAAATTTAATTTATTTATGTTTGAATTTGAATTGAATATTATCCATCATATTTATATCAGATTCAAATCACAATTGGATATTGAATAGTATAGATAAATTAAACTAAGAATTATCAAAATATTATATATTATTAATAAAATAAACTAAAAATGATCAAAATTGAATATTGTATTTCATGAACAAAATGGATTGAAGATTACTAGTATAAAACTAGCCATTACAAATTAAAAAAAAAAAGTAATTATTTACCTTGTTAATTAGAATCAGAAATTGAATATGCAAAGCTTTCATTTTCTCATGCATTGATCCTATTAATTAGTTCTTCGTCTGCCCAACATTTTTAATACTTAAAATGATGATCCCCCATGAAACGAAAATAAAAACCAATGCATGTATCATACTATATATGAACCAGCCTTTTCAAATAAACTATGAACTTCCTTCATCTTATTCACTTTGAAGAAGAAGAAGATGATGAAGAAGAAATACAAGGTGGGGTTTGGATATATAGCTCCTCGCCTCCTCCAATGTTTTAAGATCTCATAATTGAAAGCATACAAGCTCTTCTCTAGAAAGAAAGAAATATAGATAGAAACCAGCATGAGATAAAACAAGCATGAAAAAAACCTTGCTTTTGCATTCAAAGTAGTTGAATTTTTCTTCACTTCATGACCAATAGGCTTCATTTGGAAAAAGTACAAATATAAATATGTACAGTACATACAAATATATACAAAATAATACAAAACACAAGGTTTTACACTCTACAAATTTGTATTTATACTCCTTCCAAACTGAGCCTTAATTGTAAATTGTAATCGCTTCATTGTAGTCCGTCTCCATTCCTAGCAGAAGTTGTGGTGTTTGCAGTCTCTTTCGCCTCAGTTGATAATTAAACAAAGGGTAGAAGAGAAGATGAAACTATATAACAGAAATTAACCATGCTAATTAAATGGGATTATTGAATGAAGCCTTAGGGATATATATATTATTAGCACAGAAAGAAGGCAATTTGGATTGCTTTTGATACTTGGTTTCTTTGCCCAGAAACTCGGTTTATGTCTATCTTGCCTCCTCTGGTTTGCTTGAGGGTTGTGAGAAGGGAAAAATGGAGACATGGGATGGCTTAAGAACCCATTAATTAGTTGTTAGAAGGAGGCAGTACTTTTAATTTGTTGTCTTTCCACAGAGAAAAACCCACCTTCTGCGCTCTGATCAAATTTTCTTTTAGAAGTGTTAGCTTCATTCAATTCATCAACTCTCAACCTCTAAATTAAATATATGATCCCAGCTATATACTTGGTTGAAATTAATTAAAAGATAGACATCGATCTCAGTCTTTGATGGCTAGCTTTTAATTTGAACCCATGCACACAACATATGCAGCATGGATTCAGTTAGGACGTGGATGGGATTTTATCTTCACTACTGCTTGAATAAAGGATCGATATGCTTCTTGCATCCTTCCGATGTGAAAAATTCTTATATGGTACAATCACAGTCTGGATCAGATAGGCACAAGGATGTAATCACGTTCAATGAGTACTTGAGAAAAATTGACACCTGTCCTTAAAATACCCCCACCCTACCCTTAAAAGAAATTAAAAAACCTCTTTTAATAATTATCAGTGCTCTTTTAAGTTTTATTAATTACTATTTTTGTGCCTATTATATCTGGTCCCAATCAATTAATACTGGGTTAGCACAAGCGTGAGCACATACATACATCTGCTGCGACCGTAGTCACATGCGACACTCATTGAAATATATACCAACACACCAGCCTTTGAAATGAAAAATCAGTTGACGTGATATTTGGATTAATTGCAAATTAAATGCTAGTATGGCCGAGAGGGAGAGTTGTACTATTACGGGATTGGCTGAAGACAAAATCATGCACGTCAGGCTATGCTATTTATCATCATGGTTTAAGGTATTGATACACCTTATACAAATGAACAGGTGTATCAGGTGTTTTGCT